CCTGCCAGACCTCAGCACCACAGGACGAACCTATATACCAAGTCATAAGCAATGGAAAACCCATGAGACCATACCACATGCTTCCCCTGGCTCATATATGGCCTGAATGATCATTAGACAGCTATGCTCAAGAGCACAGTCACTTGCCTAGGACACCCTGCCTTACTGCAGCAATGGGTCACACGACTGCTACACCAGGAGTGCATGTGACCATAGTCTCCAATTTTACTCCTGTGTACTTGATCCACTGGCTCTCGTTATATGGCCATCAGTACCACCTGGAAGATTTGGTCAATCAACCAGACCCCACCCCAGAGTTTCTGATTCAAGCTGTCTGGGGGAAGGAGTAGCTGAGAACCTGCCTCTACAGAAAGTTCTCAGGTGATGGTGATTGTTCAGGACCCTCTGGAGAACCACTGCCCTGTACTATTCATAAAATAATGCAGTTGACACTCAGAAAGAAGGCAGCCCAGTGCTGTTCCTGTAGGCACATCATGCCAGCTCTACTGAAGGATGGCTTCAGGTCACAGCACACCACAGTCCCTGACCTCTGAGGCTCCCACCTTGGCTGGAATGAAAACATGTCTTCAAGAGCTCCAGCTCTAGGGTGCTCAAGAGACCAAACCTTCCTGAGGCTTCTTTGTATAGTGATAATCTGCTTTATTGTGGGTAGTTTCTGCCTCTCATGCAGAGCCCGGAGGTCTTACAGACATGGCACACACCACCAACACATGAAGCATTCAAAGTCAGAGGGCACCTAAGGAAGGCCAGCCAGACCCAACCCTATCACGTGTCCTTTTCAGTTCCCAAATGAGTCAAGGACAAAAGTGATGAGCATGCTGTTAAGACACCAGCCCTATGTTTTCCCTTCCCAGGTTAGTGTGAAATAGAAGGATGTCTTAACAGTGCACACTGGAGGCAGGTAGGGCAGAGACCAGTTGTGAGGACCAGCGTGACCACTCTTCCTACTTTATGTTAGCATAGTCTTCTTCTGAGAAACACAAAGGAGTCATAGCCAGTTGCTTCTACATTGTTGTATTTGTTACTTCTGGGAAAAAAATAGTGTATTCTGCTGTAAGAAAAGAAAATCAGCATCCCATAACACTTGCCAGGGCACAGACAGAAGTTCTCATTTTCCCCCCTAAAGGCAATAATTTGAGGGTATAACTTTATAATTTTATTAACATAAACATACATGGTTGTCACACGAGAGTGTCTCAGTCTTGTTACCCCATGAGATGACTAAGCGGTGACATTATCCTAGACAATGGGGATACATGTCAGGTGTGGCGGGAAAAGAAGACTGTTAAAAACTGCATGAAAATACATGGAACCTCCTCAGGTTTGAAAGAGATTTTATCATCATAAGTATGAAATTTTCTGCCCTATCTTAGGAATAGAAAGATTTCTCTTCAAGATTGGGAAATAGATAAGAAAGAGTACTTTAGAAATATTTCATGAGATGCTTCAAGGGCTGCAGTTGGAAGGATTTGGACATCACTCTAAATAAAGAGTATTTGTACAAGGCATTACTTTCAAGAAGAGAAAAGCTTCTTTTCTTAGCAAGGGAGTAAATGATCATTTTTACATCTAAAATATAGAAGCATTCATGATCTGAAGTGTTTACATTTACTTCTATGAACTTGGCCATAGATCCATGATTCCTGAAAAGTTAGTTAAAATACAAATTAAATATTAAATCTTTTATCTATCAAAGGAAAAAAAATTTTCATATAAAACATAAATCAAATACCGTTATGACTTTGGTTATGACAAACTATTTCTGGAAACACTTTTTTCCCCCAGGAAATATAAATAAGAGATACAATTTGTCTCAGTATGGCACCAACAATCAGCCCACTATATACATCTTGCGGATATTTGATTCTACTCATTATTTGCCAAAACGTGTTCACTGAAGGATTCTGAACTAACAGAATACATTAGTTCATTTACAGGACAGGCAAAAACCCAAAATTTTGTTATTTATAAGCTATAAAATTCAGATCAGTTTTATAAACATTTTTCAACTATTATACATTCCACATCTGCTTATCACAAAGGAGTCACATTCACTGGCCTTCCCAGAAATAAAAGAATTATGTTATTTCTCAAGATAAGTATCAAACTCCAAAACTGCACATTCTCCATCCAGTAATAATATACAAGTATTAACCTTATTCTGATACGCAGATCGCACTCTGCATTCATACTACTGGAAGCCAACAGCTCACCTGTTTCCTTGAGAGGTCAACATTCCCAAACAAAGCCGCTCTCCACATTGAGAGTGCAGAGCCTCGCTCCATAGGGATGGCCGATGTTTTTGAGCATAAGAATCACATTCCCACACCTACCCCAGTATCACTGATGACAAACATCTGTAAAATTACATGTTCACTTTTCTACATAATAACACTTTAACATTAGACTAATAGTTGACCCTGATCCTTAAAAAGGAACCGGATTATTGAAACAAAGCACCCCGTATGAATACTCTCGTCTGAATGTCTAGAACTATCTATAAGCTAGACACCCTGTCCACTTTCCTATTCCTGGGCAAAACACAAACTGCTGCAGTGAGTCCTCCCGACACTTCCCGATGACCTGCACCCACCCTGCTCCTCGCCCTGGTCTCCATGGGCTTTGTGTGGACTGAGTCCATTCTCCTTACTGGGGCAGCCTTGGCCAGACCCCAGCACCCCCTTACCTCTGAACAGAGCGGCTATGAGGTCGGGCAGGGCTGGGTGGATGTAGCTATCAGACAGATGGTCACTCTCTCCGCTTAGAGAAGGAGAAAATTAGAGTGGTGTTTTGTTCTAAACCAAAGGAGGCTACAAATCCCATTGGCCTCAGGTTGGAAACCTCGTGACATGGGACCAGGCACATGTGACCTACTTTTTGCCCAACTCCCCTGATTCTGTTGGAGGGGTGCGCCTGGCACGCATGTGCTGTCACTTCAATGACTCTTTCCCCCAAACAGGGGTGACCGCACAAATGCCTGCAGGATATCCAGTGCAGCAGCTAAGCCCTTGGAAAGGAAAGGGTGGGTAGGGGGATCTCATGACCCAATATTAATCAAAACACAGCTCTTAAGACTTGAGCTGTCACTGCCACTGTCAGCTGTCTGCTGTGGATGGGCCTCACATGAAGCCAGTCCTACCGATGCACAGCGGGCTTGGCCATGGGACTGCAGGCTGAGGCTCTTCTTCAGCAGGATGAAGGGCCTGAAATGGCACCAACTGCGAATTCTCACCTTCCCATTTTTTCTTCATTATGATCTAGAGCTTCCAGGTCCAGCCCTAAAAGCAAGCCACGCACAGAAGCTCAGTAATAGGTGAGCCCTGTGTGTCCTTCAGAGCCACCCAGATGTAAGGGCTCTGACATGGGCAGTACGCGGTGGAAGGGTGAACCAAGACCCTGGGAGAGAACATGGAGAATGCATGCTGGTCTACCCATCAGGATGGGCACTTCCACCACCAAGCAGGAGAAAGTTGCCCTCTTGCTCCAACTTTTACTGAGTTATTACCTATATCTCATCATCTCACACAAAATCAGGTGCAGATAAATGACAAAACCTGTATCAGCCCTGACCAGCATGGCTCAATTGGTTGAGCAATATCCCACAAGGTAAAAGTCATTGGTTCAATTCCCAGTCAGGGCACATGACTGGGTTGTGGGCTGGTCCCTGGTTTGGCTGTGTGAGAGAGGCAACCGATCAATGTTTCTCTCTCTCTGTTTCTTCCTTCCTTCCCCTCCCTCCAAAAATATATAAATATAATCTTTAAAAAAAAAACAACACGTATCAGATAGTGATAAAAACATGGATACAGAGTGGCTGTGAGGACAGGCATGCCTTTGGCCAGGGAGCACTGAACTGGCCACTTTGTACCCATAGTCTCTGCCACGGCTTTCAAATACCCACAAAGGTGCACAGACACAAGGGGGAAACATGTAGATATCACTGACCAAGGTCAGCCTGATTGTTCCTTGCAGGATAAAATAGTTAAAATAACACAAGTACTCAATACAATATACAAATGATATATTATAAAATTGTACACCTGAAACATCTATAATTTTATTAACCAATGTCACCCTGATCAACTCAATAAAAATATTTTTAAAAATAGATAAAATAACATAAGTACCAGATGCTCATTGCAGAAAAATAATAAAAAATGCACATATGCAAAAAATAACATAATTATCCAGAAAGACCACCAGTGGTAGTGATATATTTTTGAAGTTTACCTATTTATACTTTTTTCCAAAGATGTGTGTTAATATAATTTTAACAAAAATAGCATCAAACCACCCATGATTGTCCTGTTTTTCCCACCACTATACATAAAATATTTTCCTATGTCAATATATTTAAATATAAATAATAGTGATCAAATTCCCATGGCATTCTATTTTATACATAAGATGTCATGTGTTTTCATGCATAAGAATGTAACCAATCTGCTACTATTGTGTATCCATGTTTTTGTATTGTTGCATTAAACAATGTTTTAATAATAATCTTTCGGTGTACATCTTCATATCCTCTTATATCTTTGGAATGCATATTTATAGATATAATTTCTGGGTCAAGGGATACATGTACTTGAAGCTCTGGCAAACAGTGACAAACTGTCTCGCCAGCTGCACTTCATGTGTACACTGCCCTCCTGCACCAGGGCAGGCTCCGTTGTAGGTGTCTGACTTCGCTGAGTCCTGGGGACATCAACATTCAGTGTCCAGGCAGAGGAGGAAAATGCTAACAGTGAACATTAATACACATCTTGCTGTGTGTCTGGCACTGTATACTAACTCACTTCTCCCAGAAGCTCTCCACATAGGATCTGTCCTTAATCCTCTAGTAACAGCAGCACAATTGCTTATGGCTTGCTCATGGTCAAAATGGTCGGGCCATCAAGGGCACATGCTCTTGCCCATGGGGTGTCCAACAGCATCAAATATCACTAAGACAACATAGGGGAGGACTGGACGCTGACCTTTGGGTCTGGTCGGGGCAGCTCTGTGGTCCTTGATAAGGCAGGTCTTGTGTAAGGTGAACAAGTGGTGACAGCAAGGCCAGTTGTCAAAGGGACAGAGACGGGTGGTTACTGCAAGTGGTTGTGGTGCCAAAGGGCATGCCCACCTGTTCATGTGTAGTGGAAACAGACGGGCAGCAAGGCAAAAGCCAAACCCCTGAAGAGATGAGAGGAAAGAAAGCAGCATGCAGAAGGGACATGAAGGACCAGGTCACCAGCAGAAGAGGAGGAGCTAAGGGTGCAGGGACCACAAAGGAGAAGAGGAAACATGGCCCACAGGTTGAGGAAAGATGGGGGGTGGTGGCATCTAGGGCCCAGGGGCATACAAGCTACCACTAAGTAAGCGGAATGCTGCTAAGAGGGACAAGGCCGAGGGAGAACTAAGGATGTGAGTACAGGCAATTTCAAGGGTAGGGGGAGTACCATCAGTGGAGAGGGGAGGGGAGGAGAAGAAGGGGTACGATGAGAGGGCAGAGGAAGCACACTGTGAGCACTACACCCCTGGGGGGTTGGCCAGCTCTGGGTGCTCAGTCGCTTTGTGTTCATTGGAATGAGTTGGGCTAAGTGGTCAGTCATCTCCTCCATAGTTGTGGGTTTTCTGTCTTAGTGGATTCCACTCATTACTTGTGTGGCCATGTCCTGGGCATACATGGGGTGATATGCTTACCAAGGAGCACATGGGTACTTGGCAAATGTGGCCAGGCCGAGGGCAGACAATAAGCAATGCGGCTCTTTTGAATGTGCGCAGGCTAGACAGGAAACACAAAGCCCAGCAGGGATCCCCTTCGGCTCCTGGCTCCTGGCCTGGGGGTGTTCCCAGCCCATCCTCCACCATGTACCAGAAGAACTCTGGTCAGCCCCAGCTCCGGTTTCCATAACCAGCCTCACTCTTGACCACAGCCCTGGGACACACCAGTTGTGTGAAAGGAGCCATTTCCTTAGGCTCCTCTCCAAACCCAGAGCACACTGGCAGTCTTCTGTGACCAGTCACTGACGTGCAGCCGACACAGGCACCTGCAGGCTGAAATGGTTTTAACCTTCCTCCATGGAAAGAAGAACAAAGCAAAGATCACAACAGCATAGGACAAGGCTTATGGAATTGGGTCAAGCACCATGGGATTAAAAATGCTGAACTGCAATTCAAAAAACACCAAAACTGGACAGGCAGCCTCTAGGCAGGGTGGGCAAGGCAGCTGGTGCTGAGAAGACTGGTGAACCTTCAGAGAGTTAATGAGGGGGTCCTTGTTAAGTCTTGTTATTTTTAAGATGCACATGCACCCAGGGGGTACGTTAACTCAGAACCTTTCTAATGTTTGTGTTGGGAATCTGGGTTAACACATGAAACAGCTTGAAGCAGACTCCCTGTGGCCGCTGCTGTGGCCATAGGTTAATAAAACAATCTCAGGTGTACTCTTAACACTTTGGCAGTGCCTCTTAATGTAATACACGTGGACGAATAATCTAGAACTGGGTTCGAGAGGGCCAAGGCACATGAGCTGCAGAAGGAACCTCTGAGGTCTCGTTTTATAGGTAGAAGCAGGCCAGAGAAAGTCAGTCCTGCAGGCTCAGAACTTTGAGACCCATTAGGGAGAATGTGGACCTTTGGGTGGACTGTACAGCAGCACAAAAAACACACACTCCTGCATACGTGCACACTAGCATAGAGGCACACATGCTCCTGTGCACACGCTCCACCCACACTCATGCACACACGCTCCTGTGCAAATGCACATGCATCCTTATATCAGAACACACAAGCACATACACTCCTGCAAGCATGCACTCATGCTTCTATGTGTTTCTGACACACTCTCATAGATACTGGCACACATGCTCCTGCACACATGATACTGTACATGTGCTCACAAGCTTCTGTACACATGCATGCTCATTCCCACACACATGCTCTGCACACATGCACACATTCTTGCACATGTTCCTGCACCCATACATACATACTCTCCTGCACACATACTCCTGCACCCCCAGACACACACACTCATGCATACTAGGGCTGTCAGCAGGGCCAGGCCAATGTGTATTGCTTAGCACAGGACTATGCACGTGGCTAGTGCTCACTCACAGGTAACCAGTAAAGAAGCTGACAACAGACCCAGCTCTTCAGATTCCCCACCCAGCATTCTTTACAAAATGGCAGGATGAAGGTCTATGGGAGTAAAAACGTGGAACACTTACAGGAAAATAGTTCCCATTTTTAAGGGTTCCTGTGCTCAACAAAAAATTCAAAGCAAAGAGCCATGGAGAAACATTTCTGCTTCAGCGTTGACCTGCTACTGCAAATGCAGACCAGCTTCTTCAAATGCCAGCTCAGCACAACATGACTTCTCAAGAGCCAACAGGGCAAGAGTTTCCCACATTATCACATTATCGACTGCTTTTGTCACATATTTCCTTTAATGGTCTGTCTTTCTCCCAGGCACTGCTCCCTAGCTGACACCCTGTCATGGACTAAAGAGAGTGAGATGCAGGTTGGACCACATGGAACATACTTCATTTTCAAAGGTGAGTCTGACTTTGTTACATACATTCTTGGTAAACAAACAAATAAGCAAACAAAAGATACTTTACAGAAACTCACCTTCCCCCATAAGCAGCTCTAAGAGTCAGAGCAGATCCATAGACACAAATGTTCAGACTTGTTGTAACTTAGAGCATCATAACTGGAACTGGTGATTTACAGAAGGCCTGACTTTTGTCTTGAAGCTCACCTACCTAAAACACAAAAACACAAAAACACAATGCATATGAGCTTACAAATTCATGACCCTGCCCACTAGGTTTAAGAGAATGGCTTTCTTGCATTCAATAGAGCAGCAAATGTGTTGTAAGTATTCAGGTACAACCCTAATGAGGCAGCTTGAAACATGAGGAGGCTTCTGTTTTATAAATGAGAAGTCCAAAAGAAGTTTTTTGGTAAAACTGTGCAAACTTTTGGGAATGTAAATAAAACACTCAACTTTGTACTTACAATATTTAATATATTTTATATGTATTTATACTGATTTTAAAATAACATTTATGAAATTATATATTAATTTAAGCACATAGCTGGTTTTCACTTTCAGGCCTAATATAATAATTTAATTCAAACTCTTCCATTTCAGTATGCAATTTTGTCTAAATACAGCTGCCTTCTGTACCATCTGATGTTTTTCTAGAGTGCATCACTTTTGCTCTGGTCTAAGTTTCTTGACTTTCTACACTTTGGATTCACATTTGTAGCTCAAACTGGAAATTTAATCCCCAGTCACAAGTACCCATTTTTATAAAATCACCCTCTTTGCTGTGTTTTTCAATCTATCCCATAGGTGTATATTTATGACCTTTACAAATTATTGCTTTAGACATCTTAAAAGGTTTGTTCACAACAGTGTCCCAACATTTGGAATTGTGAGATCATAGCACCAAAAATAACTAGAAACCTATGCTAAATGTCTTTGCCTTTCTGTGAGTCAATCAGGTAACCACTTCAGGCAATAAACAACAGCAATGACTGAATTTGTCTCAAGCTAACATGTCTTATCCATATAATATGTTGAGGTGCAACATGGAATGTGAGAAAATACCACATGTAAGGAAATTCCATGTAAGATAACATTGAGTAAAACCTCCCTTTCATATGGGCACACACAGCATTCCCTTGGGAAGACAGTCACATACAAGTGTAGTCAAAGGTTTAATGTGTTACTGATCAGAGGATCAGAGAGGTCTTGATTGTTGAGTTAGGCTTAAAGTCAATGAGTGAGAATTCACCAGAAAACAACGGAAGACTTCTTAACAGGGGGCTAAGACAATTCAAAGAGGAAAGAACAGTCTTTGTAACATACAGTGCTGGAAAAGCTGGGTATCCACATGCAAAAGAATGAACTTGGACCCTTACGTTACACCATATACAAAAATTAACTAAGAATGGATGAAAGACCTAGACTTTTGAGCTAAACTTATAAAACTTTTAGAAGAAAACATTGAAAAAATCTTTACGAGATTGAATTTGTCAATGATTTCATGGATATGACACAATGCACAGACAAGCAAAAATACAGATGAATTAGACTTCCTCAAAATTAAAAACTTTTACGTATCAAAGGGCACTAATTAGAAAATGTAATCCACAGAATAGGAAAAAACATTTGTAAATCATATATCTGAGAAGGGATCAATATCCAGACTGCATAGAGAACTCTCACAATTCAACAATTTTAAAAAAACAACAAAAAATGTGCAAAGGATTTGAATCCATATCTCTCTAAGGAAGATATACAAATGGCCAATAAGCACATGAAACATCATTAGTCATTAGAAAAATGCAAATCAAAACCACAATGAAAGACCACTTCACACCCACTTAGGATGGCAATAATAGAAGTAGTAGGAAGAAAGGAGAAGGAAAAGAAGAGGGGGAGGAGGAGGAAGAGGAGGAAGAGGAGGAAAAAAACAGAAAATAATGTGTCAGCAAGGATATGGAGAAACTAGAATTACCATACATTGCTGGTACAAATATAAAATGGTATAGCCACTTTGGAAAACAGTCTGGAAGTACCATAAAAATTAAACAGAGTTACCATATGATGTAGCAATTCTACTCCTCAGTATATAATGATGAGAACTGAAGACATGTTCATACAAAAACTTGTACATGAATGTTCACAGCAGCATCATTCATAATTGCCAAAATGTGGAAAAACCCAAGTATCTACCAATTGATAAGTAAACAAAATGTGACATATTCATACAATGAAATATTATTTAGCCACAAAAAAAAAGAAATGAAGAACTGATAGATGCAACATGGATGAACCTGCAAAACAGTATGCTGAGGGAAGGAAGCCAGACACAGAAAGCCAAGTACTATCTCATCCCACTTATATAAAATGTGCAGAACAGGCAATTCAGAGACAAAAAGTAGTCCAGTGGTTCCAAAAGCTGAGTAAAGAGGGGAATGGGAATGCCTAATAACGAGCATTAGGTTTCCTTCTGGGTGATGAATGTACTTGTAATTAGATAGTGGTGATGGGTGTACAACTTTGTAAATATTCTAGAAACTACTAAAATGTACACTTTAAAGGTGTGAATTTTATGGTATGTGAATAATATTCAACTAAAAAAAGGTAATAAAAACTTAAAATTTTTTTTAAAGCAATGGAATAAACCTCCCATTAAACATGGCAAAATTAACATGTGTTTATCTCCACCTCACAGAAACTGCACTAAAATGACACAAGATAAAATGGCACAGACTCACAAGCACTAAGAAATCAGGAGAATCAAGAACAACCAACAAAGTTGTCAACAGAACTCTGGAATCTGGGCAGTGGATGAAAGAAGCCACTAGGTAACTCTGGTTCACACCACAGATTCTAGAAGGCTGACACATGTCTCTCAATGTAAGACACAGAGGTCAGAGAGTAGAAACAGAAATCATAATTTACATTTTCTGTAAGGAAGCTTTAGGCCCTGAGAAATCCTAATCAGTAGATAAGTACTCTTCTCTTCCAGTGGACACCTGAAGACGGTTACCCATTCAGGGTATGACAACTAGCAGTTCTGAAGATAGGGAAATGCTGAAATTAAAACCACGGCGTTAGAAAACAAGACAAACAATGAAACCTCTTACCCCCTTCTCCCTAAGAGGTTCTCAGAATGCCAGCAGACAAGGATTATTCCCTCAGTAAATTCTATACAACAGAAACAGTACAGACAGAAATCTCTGATACCAATGTAATCAAGCCAGAACTTAATGAACTTTAACCAAAGGACAATTTACATTGTTTTAGAAACATCCAAAGGAAACTAGTTTGTTAACTATAAATAGCCTTATGTCACTAAATGGGTAAGGAATACCACAAGACCAGCAATCTGGGCAGTGATGTGACAGACACATTCATGAAATACCTCAGTTCTTACATCACCAACATGTGCCAAGGAGCCAGGGCCACTAGGTACCCTGTGCAGTTGATGAAGTAATAATAAAAACTCAAGAGAGGAAAGGCTCTGATGTTTGCTTTTCAAAACTAAACTTGTTTTAGGAAGGGAGACAGATTGAATGAGAGACATGACGCCTTTCCTCACCATTATAGCCCTCCTTCACTACATGACCCACTTAGGAACAGGAGAAGCCACGGTTTTAAACACCTTGTTGAAAAGGCCGCCATGACAAATCAGCCTCAAAGGACTAGTCCCTTTGTCTTCCCATACACCCTGGTCTTGCCAGGAGAGGGTGAGTGAGGGGAGGGCAGCTGAGTATGGTGTGGAGATAGAGAGGGACCGCGTTGGGTCGGGTATTTTAGGCCATTTTAAGAATGAGTGCAGGTGGAATCTGCAGGAAACCAGGTTCTGAGGAGGTTTGGAGGGAGTAAAAATAAGCATGATGAATCATGGTATTTTAACACAAGCAACTTCGTTGCTGGTGTGGAAAACAGACTGAAGACAAAGAGGGACAGGAGAAGAAGCCAGAAGAGAATTTAAGAAATAAAGCAATAGTCCAGCCAAGAGATAATATCACTCACTGTATGTGCACTGAGGAAGTATGCAGTGGCTGGGAATTCAGTCTGATGAGCAACACCCAAGCCAAATCAGCAAATGGCCCATCCAGCAGAAGATGCCAACATGCCATTCTGTTACAGTTCACATGATCTAGTGACAATGTAATGAAGAGGCAGAATACATGAAAACACACAAACATGATAGTGTGTGTGTGTGTGTGTAAAATGCGGCACCTGCCATTTAGAGGTTATTCCTCCTCCAACTCTCAGAGAACAACAAAAAATTGACTATGTTCTGACTCACTGTGCAAGTTTCAACAAATGAAAGACAGGAAATCAACAGACAAGGCTTTCCACCCACTGGGCAATTAAATTAGAAATCATTAGCAAAAGATAACTTTGTAATCCCCCTAGACAGAACATCTTTTTCCATGATTCTCAATAAGAAATAAGCAGCACAACATAATAATGAAATTAGAAAATAATTAGACCGCAACAATAACAAAATTACTCTATGTCTGAATTTGAGGTAAGCAGCTAAGAGAAAGCTCACAGGAAAAGTAACAGCTTTAAAAGCATATATTATGAATAAAGAAAGGCAAAAATTAGTGAGAAAAAAGTCCAATTCAAGAAGTTAGAAAAATAACAAAAATACCCACAGAAAGTAGAAAGAAGGTAATAATAAAGAATAAATCATAAAAGAAACAAGAGCCAATTGAGGAAATGGACAAATACAAAATTTACTTCTTAAAAAAAAGGGTCTAAAAATACACAAACTGCTGATGACATTGATTGGGAAAAATAACCCAGAAGGTACAGATGATATAATAATTTAGAGGAAGACAAGGGCTCCTGTTTCTGGACAAGATAAAGGAGACACATTTCTCCCTAGTCTTCCTGCTGAGTCTACTAAAACTCTGAACAGTAAATATAAAAGAAACATGAAAGAGAAAAACAATCAACAAATGCTGAACACTGAGAGGACACAGATATTAGAATTCTTTGACAAATACGGTAAAACACCCATCACAAAAATGCTTCAAAGAGCATTTATTAACATGCTTATGTTCATAACAGAGAAAGAGAGGAGAAGAACAACCTAAATACTACAAAAAGTCAATCAAAATGAAATAAACAATCTCCATATCCCTATAGTCATTAAAGAAATTGCATTTATAATAAAAAGTTCCAGAAAAACAAGTCTCCAGGCCCAGATAGCTTTACTGGAGA